ATGCAATACTACTGTCCGATTATCAATTTGTATTTAATGGTGAATGTAGTCTAACGCCATGACCAATATTTATCAATTAAGTTTCAGTGGGGGGTAGGGGGGTTTGGAAAAAAACTAAAGGAATTAAGTTTTTTATCCGACATCGATCTTTTGACGTCGTCCCCAAATAAGTAAATCTTTATGAGTGGACATTTTGAAATGCTATTATAGAAGGTATGTAATGGTAATCTTTAGCGTCAAACTGCTCAGCTCCAACCTAATTGGTTCAAAAGTTGTGACGATTCGATACTGGTAGTACATGTAGTGGTACATTGTGAAGTAAAATATTTAGTTTTTGATGTTTTTTCTAAAGAAGTTTCTCTTAGCAGGTTGAACGCATATGTACCTTGCCAATTGATATACTTACCAGTACCACTATTTACGCAGTTTGTTTATTTCAGGGCTGCATACTTGACAATACATACGAGTCTCGTACGCCAAACAAATTCAAATTCAAACAGAGGTTGTTCAGAAATTTTGTCGATGTAGTACTAAAATAAAATTATTATGTGGTTGCCGAGTCCCCCGAAATACCATGCCAAGTGAATTCAAATAATATTAATATTGACGCAATAAATTCTAACTTATATCAAGGACTTGGCATAAACTGTTATGATCAATGATTATTACCTTCACAATATTTTTACAGGGTGACACTTATCTGACCTGATGTTACTTTGCATCATGGGGTTTGGCTGACATAAAGTGATAATATAGAAATTTAAGATCTGAAACCTTTATAAATAAAACACAGAGCAGGATTGAATAGCGCCACCAATATCATGAGAAAATCTGTCTCCTATTACTGTAAAATACTTATTTATTTTCACTGAAAAGACTTTTTGTGTATTTTGTGCAGAATTTATTTTCACTGATTTTTGACAAGTTGATTGTAAAATAAAGGAAAAAAAGGTATATTCGCTGGATCTTATTTTCACTGAATCATTCCTTCAGCAAAAATAGTGAAAAATAATTCCAAGCGAAAATATGGTATTTTACAGTAACTTACTATCCCAACTAGATTGAGTGAGCAATAGAACTAATTTTCAGAAGCCCTCCCCCATTTAATATCATTCACTAAAATTTTTATTTTACATTAATACAGGGCACTTGTTTTAGCTACTTTTTTAAAGTGGCCGATTCGACAGGCTGAACATGAAAAACGTTTATTGAGCGTAAACTACATAGGTGAATTATTGATGTACATTTTTGTGATTATTCCAGGTATCTCAGCTGATATACTTCGCGAGGAGATGACAAAAATAAACAAAAACAAAATAAAAACCGATGCAGGGAAAATATTTGCTTTGGTTTACACAATGGATGATGATAACTTCAAACTACAAAAAGACGCTTATGATATGTTTACTCAGAAGTCTGGTGTGTCGGTGAAGCACGATGCCTTAGTTAAGGAGTTCCACCATGCGTTCATGCATGAAAACGCACTTAATCCGATGATGTTTCCAAGTCTTAGGTAGGCAACACGACAGATTATTATTATTCATTTTTCCTTCAAATGAAATCCTGAATTTCATTTCAGCAATAATATCAACGAATATAGACTTGCTTGCAAAATAAATATAAATTGCGTAAACGAGGGGTGAACGCGAAAGTCATGTGACCACGAAATCCCAACAGACTTGCCATCAGTGTAAGGGCCCTCACATTACCGGCCAGATTGGGGCTTGTAATGATTTACATGTCTAATATGTTTCAACCAATTAAGACAGGCTAATTAACATATCAACTGAGACCCCGGAAACCATACACACTTTCTT